CGGCTGACAATAAGTAGGGCAAAGTCGGCTTGCCTCACTGAGCTGCTCACGCCCATGTGTGAAGAGGCCGTTTCCTGGAAATTGGCAATCCCACACTGCAAGGTCAGCAGCTGTTCTGATAAGGTGGAGCTTCTGGACTCTGGACTAGACGGCAGCTTAGCACCACAGTGACGTCCCGCCTCTGTAACCACCTGTCAGTGTGCTTGACACTGAACCTAGCACTGGACCTGGCGTATTGCTCTGTGACGTGACGTCACACAGGCCATTGCCCTGTGAAGGAGTCTGAATTTGACTCAGCAGGTATGTTGAGTAACACTACATGTACAAAGCACTGATTGCTTCCCAAGGACATTGTAGAGGACAGGGAGGGCATGTTTGCCACCTTTATGAAGTGTTGCCTCTAATTGTGGAGGAAAGCTCTGACAATTCAAGGAAAGTCAGTCCTAGCTACTTAGAAGGCAGGGAGTTGATGGGGGCTGGAGAGCATAAGAGTGAAAACAAATCTTGTTGCAATCAGATGTTGCAATTTCTTTCTTTTGTGTTTTGGTTTAAGTAAGCACAACACCAACAGGTGCTGGTGGGGAGTTGCCCTCCTCCCCTACATCACCCTCCTCCCCTACATCACCCTCCTCCCCTACATCACCCTCCTCCCCATTAGCCTAGCAGGCCAGCTCAAGTCTTGCTCCCTGGCACATACCACCATCCCTGCCCACCTGCCCAATTTTCTCTCTCCTTGAGGTATTCATTGGTGAAGGGGCTCCCCTGGCCGGTTACTGATTGGCCACTTTAGCCTTGTGCTGACCTATCCCTGCAGCAAGATTGCAGACACTTCATTCTGGCAGCAGGTAAACAAAAAAGTAGTCAGAGCCTCAGGTTGAAATGTGTACAGGGCCTTGTATACATTATCAAAAGAAGAAAACCTCAAAAGGGCAAACATTAAAGATAACATGTGCCAGCATGTGAAAAGAGAACATGGAGGGTGAGGACAGCGCAGGGGGCTTTGAGATGTTGGGGCTAGGCAGGGAGTAGCAGCAAGGGAGATGGCTTCTTGGGGAAGCCACCCATTGGAGAGCTAGACGCTCACCAGGCCACATCACATGGGACCTGAGTGAGGAAAGCTGTAGCTTGAAACTCACCCAAGTGTGACAGTCTTGCCACCCGTGGTGGCAGGGGTCTTACTGCTATTGGAGTGGGCTCCTATTCTGAAGGCTGGACAGGGTTCACCTGAATGCCAGTGCCCACTTTTGTCTAAGACATGGGGGGGGGGTGCAGGGACTGACTAAACTTCAGGAAAGGGAAGTGGTGATTTGTATGTTATTGGCGGGGGCTGGGGTGGGGTATCACAGGAGAGGTGAATCACAGGAAAGGTGAATCACAGGAAAGGGAGTAGGTGCATTCTGGCAGTCTTCCAGATTGTTCCCAGGTATCTGTAATACAGTATAAACCAGTTTTTCTGACCGCCCCCAGAAAGCAGGATTTTGTGCAGTTGTCCTTAGCCAATTGAAAGTCACCTGGAGTTTTATCCTGGTTAAGATAGAAGGTCAAGACTGGTGGTTGCCCTCTTTCGCCCATGCCAGTAACAGGGGGCCCTGCAGCCTTTTGCTCCCAACTTGTGCCTTTAGGAATGTCTCTTATCAAACCCCAGCTTCTGGGCTTCGGCCTAGAAATTCCTTTCATTTTACTGCCCCATGCTTTGACAAAGGTCAGCCAGAATCAGAGATGTGTTTGTATAATATTGCCTGCTCTTACTCACCTAACCTTCCTCTTATTTAATCTGATCAGTCCCCCTGCTTGTGACTGCTGTCTCCATCCTGCCTGCTTGAACCTCTCCCCAGCAGGATATAGTTGGCATGCCAAGTGCTCAGAGTATTTGTACCTCTGTCGCTGCCAGTACTGTTCTTGTTACTATTTTTACTGCTAGTCAAAGTTGATTTTGCCAAGAAAGAACTTTTGATTTTTGCAATATGGATTTTCAGATCCATAAGCAGCTGGTTCCCATCAGAATGGAATGCGGGTGTGCAGCCCGGAGCCCTTCTAGCCAAGGTCTTGCTGTTGGGCATGTGCCCCTGCTCCCGGACATCTTTGTGTGTTCTGTGAGAAAGAAGACATGCTGTCGGTGTTAGAACTGAAGGAAGTTTGGGTCTGTGCGCTGCTTTTAGCAGCTTTTTGGTTTCAGGGTCCTACCCTTTAATCTTGTCACAGCCCCACGATATGTGTCCAGAGCAGGACTTGATACGGACACAGGTGAAGGTAGGGACATCAGCACTGGGGCAGGTTTGGATAAAATGAAACTTGGGGAGGCTTTAATTGGCAAGAGCATCTTGCTGTTGTTCTTGCTATGCTAGGCGTGGTGACTCCTGCTGCACCTGCTGCTGCACTAAAGGGGCTTCTTCACGGTTAGGCCCTCTTCATGCAGGGGCTAGATCGAGATCGCAGAGGGTCCGATGCTAGAGCCATTTTCATTACAAGGGAGCCCCATGTTGTGTGGGTGTTTGGGAGTATCTGGTGTGTCAGTTCTTTACATCTTTGTAAAGAACCAGGTGAATTAATTAGTCTAAAACGCCCTCTCCTTTCCTCATGAGAATAATGCCATAGCTTCCATGGTGGAAATGCTGACTTTTCACCTGTTAGAGAAGGGTTCGATGTCCGTGGAAGACAATTAAGAGGATGGCCTTGGGGATTCCCTGGGCTGGATTATAAAGGAAGGCTCAGCTATCAAGCAACATGATAAAAGATGCTTTACAGTCTGGTTTATGACCAGTGTCAGAAGAGAACTCCAAATCTCTCTCCTGCCATCAGCTGACACACTGAAAATTAACCAGAAAGGTAAAATCTTGAATAGATTTAGTAGAACATTTAAAAATTGTTACTAAGGCATAATTAACGTGAAATACAAACTTTTTTAATCATTTAGTCATGAACTTGTATTAATATAATCATCCACTTAATAGCCTTATTTTTTTTTTTTAAGATTTATTTATTTGTACATACAGAACTGGGGTACAGGCCAGCGGCTCAGGGGCGGTGAGAGGCTTCACGAGAGACAGAGTGGGGAGCAGAACAGGCAGATTTATGAAGTACACTGCTGAGGGGAGCAGCGGGCGGGTCAGGAGAGGTCTGCCACGCCATGTGGTCACCTCCGGGGCAGGCGGGAATCGAACTCATGCGGAAGTGGCTTTAGCTTCTCAGTGCAGTGCTTTAACCCGCTGCGCCACCAAGGAGGGCCCCTTAATAGCCTTATTTTTAAAACTTAACTTTATAAATATAAAAGGAATATGTTCCTATTGTAGAAAGATTTACATATTCTACAAAGCCCCCACTTTCATGAGAGTTTGGTCTGCTCTGTGAGAGACAGTTGTGCCAGGCCCCTGCACTTGGGAGTTTTCTAGTTTGCACTTGGCAGCACCTTGCAACAGTGTTCCAGGAGCTTCACCAGTCAGGTACTTCCACGCCCTGCACAGCACTTTGAAAGAACCTGTCTGGAAAACCATAAGTCATTCTCCTGTTTTCTGTGAAGCATGGACAGATTGTTAGTTTTCCCCTCAAGTCCCAGAGAAGGAACACATTTGTCTAGCAATTTGAAAATACTTACTGAAAGGTGAACCCAGAAGTCCAGTGAAATTCTCTCCAGACTTTTCAAGAAGCTCAATCAGTGTCTTGTCAAGTGGAAGATCTTAGAAACTAAGAAATGCTTACCAGAGATGTTTTCATGGTTCTGAACTTTCTGGGATTAACTATTTGGGGTTCCCTTCTACCCCCAAAGAATTTTGACTTAGCTTCTCTTAACCTCTGAAATACTTGTTTTTTAAACTCACATCTTGTAGGAGATGAATAAACTTAAAAGTTTACTATATCCATACAATTTATAATTGAATCATTCAAGCAATGAAATAACAAAACAAACAAACAAAACAAAAAAAAAACCAGGGACAGTAATTAACATTAGCGCAAAGGAATTTGAAACAGAGTAATAATACCTGACTCTTAAAAAGTTCTCCCTGCCCACTGGGTTGTGTTCTGAATGCCTTTAGCTATATGATTGAGTCATTACAAAAATATAATACAGATTGTTGTCTCCTGTGCTGATAATAGCATGTTCAAGGACAGCACTGTGTGGCCTTGAGCCTTGCTGGAAGGGCAGCCACAGAGCATGTGTCAATGTGTCATGGACTTGGGGTTTAGAGGGCTTTTTCTGGGGTATTAATGAAAGCAAGGGCCTAAACTCTGAGAGTGTTCATTTTACAGGTGAAAAAAACTGAGCCCAGAAGTTAGGTAATTCACTAGGATCAGAGTATCTCTGATCCCACACCCTGAACACTTAGCTCCCAAGTGACCCTTCCTGAAGTACAGGCAAGACTGTTTCAAGTCAGTGAGAGGATGCTTCAGGCTTCACAGATAATAAACCCAGGGCCTTCTACTCAGAGGCCACAGTCAGTCTTTTTTCCTAGAGCAAGAGCGTGAACAACTGCCCCTGGGCCCTCAAAAACTACGCGGGCTTCTGGGGTTATGAGAGGGACTGAGTCTGCTTAGTACCCCTCAAGTGGTTGCATCAGGATGTGAGGAAGTGGCACTGCTATGGATTTTACAGACAGCCTTGCAGGGAGCTGGCTGGGAAATGTAGGGCGGAAAGGCCTCTGACACCTGCCTCCCGTGCTGTTAACAGCATGTTCAAGGGCAGCACTCTGTGACCTTCCTTGAGCTTTGGGGGTTTTGATGGAAGGGCAGTCATAGAGTATGTATCATGGACTTGGGGGTTAGAGGGCTTATTCTGGGGGATTAATGAAAGCGAAAGCCTAACTTCTGAGAGAGAGACACCCTTTGAGGGTAGGTAGGGAAGTGGACTGTCCAGAGCAGGAGAAAAGCTTACTCAACTGGCGTATTGGTAGATAATAACCAAAATGTGATTTGCCTGCCAACAGAAGTTCTCTTTTTGCCTAAAGATGAATCCTGGACCTTAGATGAGCAGTGGAATAGCTCATGTGTTCCTTCTCTGTCTTCAGTCATGGGACATTTTCTTCCGAAACACCAATGCTGGAGCACCCCCGGGCACCGCCTACCAGAGCCCACTCCCTTTGAGCCCGCGTTCCCTGTCTGCTGTAGCCGGAGCACAGACACTGGTGCATGCCCAGCCCAACGTGGATAAGCTGGTGGAGGATCACCTGGCAGTGCAGTCTCTCATCAGGGCCTACCAGGTAAGGCAGCTGCTACAGCCCTCCCAAGTAAATTCTGTCATTTAACTTTTATCCCCAACAAAAATAGCTGCTCCCACTCTGAGCAATCTCTGCATGATGTAAATAACTTCTTATTTTTTTCCATAAGTTGGCAAGAAAGATTTGTGAACAGGAAAACCCAGTCATGGCCTGGGCAAGGAGGGAGGGTGAGCAGTGACTGATAGCAGCATGCTCCTCCAGAAGTCCATGTCCTCTTCTCACTAACACCCAAATACTATGAAAGAAATAAGCTGGTAGTGTTTGGGACAAAACCAGAATCTCTGTAAACAAGGAGCAGCAGGTGAGAGGAAGCCAAGTCTGAAGAAATAGCAAGAGGCAGGGGAGATCCCTCCAAACGCAGATAGTTTGGGAGTGACCCGCCCCACCAGAGGAGGGTTAGGCAGAATGTTATTTGGGTTCATTGATGTTGTCAGGGGATTGTTTTCGTTCTAACCACTGTGCCCCAACCTACTCAGCAGCCACACACCCCTCACCCTCGCCCACTAGTTCCTCACCTTCCCTTGTTCCTTAGGAACATTTCTTTGTTTCAAGCTGAGTAGACCTCACACTAGAGTGAGAATCCCCAGCACATCCCATTTCCATTAATCCAGGAAAAATGTGTAACAATCTCAAGCAATGACTCCATGAGACAGCTGCATTTATCATAACCTGAGTTGATTCTTTTTTTGTTGTTTAATAAAAGTGCATTTATCCACGGTAATGCTTTTAAAACAAGCTATCAAAAAAGCAAGAATTCTTTGTTATTTGGGTTCATTGGTGTTCTCGGGGGAAGGGCCAGCCAAGTGTAATTTTTACCCTCCTCTCCCCCCTGCTTAACGATTTGCTTGTTATTGCTTCCAGGTCAGGGGTCACCACATTGCAAAACTTGATCCTCTCGGAATTAGTTGTGTAAATTTTGATGATGCTCCAGTAACTGTTTCTTCAAACGTGGGTGAGAATTAATCTGTAAATGATAATTTTAATGTAATTTTACTTTTTTTTACCCCTTCCCTCTTTTTTTTCTCCTGTCCTTTTGTGTGTGTCCTTCCCTCCCCACCGTTGGCCCGTTCGTAGATACGAGGGCACCATGTAGCACAGCTGGACCCCCTGGGAATTTTGGATGCCGATCTGGACTCCTCCGTGCCCGCTGACATTATCTCATCCACAGACAAACTTGGTGAGGGTCTGAGAGCAGTCGGCACTGCGCTGCTTGAGCTCCTCTGTGTCACAGCTTGTGATAGCCAGGATGTCCACAGATAGAAGGGAAAGACTCTTAAGTTTCCTTCGTTCTGATCACTTGAAATTTAGCGTGTTTTGGGCAAGTTATTTTTATCTCAGCTTTCAGCCAGATTGTATGAGTTCAATTGTCTTAAGTCTCAAAATTGGAAAGTAAAATTGGGGGCAGGAAAGGTTTGTGGCACAGGTTAAAAAGATACCCCAAGCGGGTCAGAAGATATTTCAGAGATTACCAGTTCTTTGGCTTCTGTTTCCAAATCTCAGTGCAGTGCTGCCTTCTGCCAGAGGAGGCCTTGCTCATCAGTGTTGTCACACTGTCTGCTCCGAACACAGTGTGTCTGCAGTGGACCAGGGTGAATTCCTGAGTAAGTTTTGCAGTTTGGGTGTCACAATTCTTAAATGCCAGTGATCACACTGAGGAAACTTCGGAAGGCGTCCCCACTGTGCGCAGGGAGGCTCAGGCAGCTGTTGTCACATCCACTGCCCCTCCTCTGCTGGCGCGATCACAGGGCCGTGGCTGGGCTCACACCTGCAGTTGCTTTCTCAAGTTGATCTGCTCTAAGTCACCGTGCTGCTAACCTGCGCTAAAGAAACGATGACATGACTAATTTTGAAATGGCCAGGTTTTTACAAGAAACACTATGCATGCTAATAAAACTGATTATTACCTACCTGCCTAACACTGCTCTGTGGGTGGGAGAATAATTAGCCTCCTCTGAATAATGGTCTGTTAACACTGTACAGTGCCCAATTGCCTGTATAGGCATAATCAAGAAACCCTCCTCAATGTGATTGAATAGGACCAGTTCAGGCTATAGACAGGGTTTGAGTCGAGTATTGCTGCTTTATTCAGTGCTGACCACTTGTGATCCCAAGAAGTGGGCTTCTCTTTGCAGATTCTCCAAAGACACTTGCAGGAATCCCCAAGGGCACCACTTAGCCCCTTGCACCATCTAGATGTAACATACCCTTCCTCACTTACTCTCCAGGCTTAGGGCCAGGCAGAGCTCCCTACTGAGAAGCCAGCAGATTGGGACTTTCTCCAAAGAACAGCCCCAACTGCTGAGCCAGTCAGGAGTTGGGCTGTAGAAGCCAGTGTATCATCCAAGAGAGGCATACAGGAGCTCAGGGTCTCCCCTGCCTGAAACTGCATCTCCTCAGCCCCCCAGCCAATAATATCCCAACTTAGCAATTTGGCAGGATCAAAACATGCTTTTCTCAACTCTCACTAGAACTACCTGGTGAACTTAATACTCTTTTCTTGTCCCACTTAAGACTAATCAGGTCAGCCGGAGACACAGAGCTAACAGGCAGATACTGAGGTTTCCTGAAAGTACCCCAGGCAACACCTACCCAGCTATTCCTTGAAGGGTGAGAAACCAGGCCTATCGACAGCACCTAGCTCCTGAATTTACAGCACTTGTCAGTGACAGATGTAGGATCTCTGCATTTCTACACCACGAGGGGCCTCACCTCAGGAATAGTGTCCCAGAATGCTGTGCTTGTGCAATATACGATTCCAGGCCCAGCAACAACACTGCACATGAAATGGCAGAGGACTCCAAGAATCAAGAGCCCACCATGCAGAGGCAGCCAGAGCCCCCTAAACTCATTGGAAGCAGAGGATTTTGCATCCTCTGACTAGAACCACCAAGAGAAAGTTAGTAACAGACCTTCTACTTATGTTTTCATCCTGAAAATTTGAAATAGTGTGATAAAAGTCAAATCATTTGTTTCTTTAGGCACAAAAAAAATGGAAATAGTGTGAGCTCATTATATATTTGAATCTAGGAAAGTTAGTCTTGAATTATCTCATTCTTGATCTGTGCAGGTATTCCAGGAACAATAGGTCCAGCTCAGCTGGCTCTGTAGACAGACACTGCAGTTCTAGACTATTTCTATGCCCCTTATTTCATTTGAACCTTACAGTTGGCTCCCCAGACTGGATTCCAGGCTCTGCCAAGTGCTGCCTTTCCACACCTTCATGTTTTTCTCCTCACCTATAAAGTTGTTTCAAAATTAAACACACTCCTGCAATAGTGCCTAGGGCTTACTAAGCTTCAACCAAATGTGAACTACTCTGTATTATTGATAATCTTTTTAGATAAGGAACTGCCAGACTTTCAGGTAATGTTTGAATTCAAAAACAGAGATTTAATCAGTAGCTGAGGTGGCATAAGAGTTGATAGTGATAAAGGGTGGGCTACCTGATTAGTATTTGTGATACAGAAACCTGCCTAAACAGTTGTATATCTGGGGTACATTCTTGCCCTGTGTGGTGTCCTGTGTCACACAGCATTCTTCCCCCAAGCACCCCCGAGCTTCCCTTCTCTCCTGCCTGTGGATACAGGCACCATTTCTCCATTCTCTTATGGGGGAAACAGATTCAGCACTGCACACTTGGAGGTTTGACAGCATATTCTGCTGTTTTTGAAAAACATGAGGACTATAAGGTGCTATAGGAAGACTTAACTGTCGGGGGGAGGCAGAAATCCCACCAACATAACAGGCAGGGGAGCCAGCACTGGTCTGTGTGCAAATAGGGCTCATAATTTTTTATGAAGTAGAGTTTGTGAAATAGTTTCTGCTGAGTTCTTGACCTTTGCTGGCCAGTTTTGTAAAGACTGGAAAATGCTGGCCTATGGCCTCTATTCAAGTATCCTCATATCTCAGCAATTCCGGACTGGTGGTGGAGCTAGTGAGATGAGCAGGCCAGCTCTTCCCTGCCGTGGCAGACATTCAGGAATTCCAGATGGTCCCAGAATGCTGGGTTAAAGTTAGAACAGTTTCTCAAGTAGGTGAGGGCTATGAGGGGACCAAGTTCCAAGTGGGCCTCAGAAACTCCTCTCAGTTTGTGCTGAATTATGCTGTCTGCTTCATGTTCTGAGGGAAATGGTTGAAAACTCGAACATGAACTGTCCACGCATCCATTCTACTTGTGTCCCTGATGCAGGTTGAGGAAGCTCTCCAGGCAGGACCAGGTTTCCTAGCAAGATTTTTCCTGATTGGTCCTGAGAAGGGTCAGGATGTGACTATTTACACAGTGGGTCCTGTGGGGTGTTTGTATCTTCATTAGAATCAAGTTGACTATGAGTTGAAACCAGTCTGTTGTCCTCTGCTGGCATCCCGCACTTATTTTGTGGTGGGAGGGCATGGAGGGGTTTAACAGTTTGTTTCTACCCTGAGCAGAGAGCTGACCTTGACTGGTTTGGGAACTTAGAGAAAATCCCCATCAACTCCTGCCTTCAGTTCCTCTTCTCTTTCAAATGTAATATTTATAGATTCCATTATTAAAATGCCATTGTGTATGTTTTGTGTATAAATTCTTTAGTATAACTTCTCACACTGATAAGATAATTTGAGATCATTTCATGTGAGACTGAAGAAGCACAATTAACTCAAAACATGAATTCTATCAATGACAAGGGAAGAAAACGTGAGATTGTTTTGTTTGCAAATTTCAGTCTTAGGAAATGAACTTGAGTTAGAATTTCAAATCAGTTCAGAAGCCCAAAATTATGAATTGATTGACTTAA